TGAGATGCCTCTCCTAAGGCTTAGTCACAGGAAGGAAGAACTTTAAACCATGCTGCTATTTTTGGTCCCACTCCTTTTGCCTTCAGTCCTGCCAGCCGCTGGAATGTGACCTGCAAAGGGCTTGCCCTCTTGATTTAAAGCTTCTCATGCCCGGCAGCCTCTGTGGGTACACTGGCTGCCTATTCTTACTAGTCTTTTCTTCAAAAACCTGTAAATATATTTAAGTATAACATAGATTCCCCAATATGCACATATATAGGTATTCCTATGTGATGGAAAAACCTTTATATGTGAACTGGCAGGTAAGAACTACTATTATGTAATGTCATTTATTATAGTATACTATATGCCTGACTTCCTGCTTGCACTGGAGAACAGGCTGTATGGATCATGGCTGTTTTTCTCATAAATTTTTCTTCCTCTAAATCAGAATTGTGCCCATCAAGACTCTAACCTACCAGCCATGTCTGGGATCCCTCCAAGAGTTGGTGTTAAACATTCTGTTTGTTTTTTTCCCATGCTTGCCAGTTACTAAAACAAATGGGGAACATAGTCAAGGACATATGGTCTGCCAAGGACCAGAGAAGCTATTTCTAGTCCAACACTTTAACCACTTTTCCACACAGGTTCTGATTTGGTTCCTTTTCCCCCAATGGGAAAATATCTTTCCTCTAACTTGGTTATAACACCATCTGTTAAAACACAGTGGCTATTTTCTATTTCTAGATCATGAGAAAAGTCCCAATGCTACCTGATAGAGGACATCATTAGGAAGATTACAAAGCCACCGACATCCATCAGGGCTTGCAATGATCTAAAATAAGTCTTCTTTCTTCAATTGCAACAACTACAAAAGGAATGCTCTAATGTCCTAAATGTGTTTGCTTTGAGGGCAGAAATCATCAAAAAGATGTGAAATTGTTATAGGTCTTGGGATTACAGTGGTGAACTTCTTTCAGCCCAAAGATGAGTTTCAGTGAAACTCTTGGGAAATATATTCAAGTTTTTGGTGTAGAAAAGTCAAATGAGAACGTAACCAAAATACTAACCATCCCAGCATATTTTAGCTTAAAGTTCCTATATCTATTAAATAAGCTTTAGGGAAGCATTTCAACCTTTTCAAAGGGGGGAAAAGACTAAGGGGCTGGATTAGACCTGCAGTTCTGAGGTTCAACACCCCTGTTAGGGAAGAAACTGCCATAATAATTTGCAAGAAGGAAAAGGAGAACATGTATCTTGTGCTGGAGGGAAAAATGTATATTTGACATGAATTTTCAGTGTGTTTCAGACAACAATGTTTTCCTT